ATGGCATATGTATGGTACTTATAATGACATCATATGGTACTTATAAAGACATAAGATGGTCCTTATAAAGCCATATGTATAGTACTCATAAAGCCATGAAAAGTACTGAACTTATAAAGACATGTATGATACTTATATTGGCATATGTATGGTACTTATAAAGGCATATGTATGGTATTTACAAAGACACATATATGATACTTACAACGACATATCTATGGTACTTAGAAGGGCATATGTATGATACTTATATGGGCATATCAATGGTACTTACACGAGCCTATGTATAATACTTATATGGCCATTTTATGGTCATGTGTATGGTACATATATTGTTACGTGTATGGTACTTATATGGGCATGAGAATGGTACTTATATGGGCATGAGAATGGTACTTATATGGTCATATGTATAGTACTTAACTCAGCCCGTCCTCCTAAGGTTCCTAACGTCAAGAAAAGGTCAATTTAAGGTGTAATCGCCTAACCTACCACAGGACCCAAATCAGAAAACGGGACAGTACGTCACTTTAGCGACCAGCTTACATTTTCTGCCACACAGCCTTTTGCCAGGAAAGAATCGCAGCCCGGGCGAAATCGTCATTTTTCTCAAAACTCAAAATCAAAACTAGCCATAGAATCGCTTTGAAAATGGTACCATTGTGTTTACCACAGCAATTTATATTTCTTTCTGTAAAGGCTTTCTTTGCTAATTTTCAATATGAAGGCCTTTACACACATATTTACCGAGATACGGCCGTCTCAAATATCAAAAATTTCATCGTGTTTTCTCAACATACTATTAAGAAAAATTTGTTGAAAAACATGTAATAATAATAATAAAGAGCTGAATTAAAAATGGGTAATGAAAATTAAGTAATTTCTATAATATTCCTTTACTTAGAGAGTATTTTGAATGGTACTTATATGGGCATATGTATGGTACTTACAACAGCATATGTATGGTACTTATAACAGCATATGTATGGTACTTATAACTGCATATGTATGGTACTTATATGGCATATGTATCGTGCTTATTATGGTATACGTGTGGTACTTATAATAGGAAATATATGGTACTTATAATGCCATATGTGTGGTACTTATAATAGCAAATGTATGGTACCTATAATGGCATATGTATGGTACTTATAAAGTCATAAGTACGGTACTTGTAAAGACATACGTATGGTTCTTATAAAGACATGTATGATACTTGTAATGGCATGTGTATGGCCCTTATAATGGCATATGTATGGTACTTATAATGACATCATATGGTACTTATAAAGACATAAGATGGTCCTTATAAAGCCATATGTATAGTACTGTATTTACAACCAGGTGAGCAGATGCATTAGGTGAAATGAAACTTTGACCGTCTCTGTCCCCCCTGGGACCTAACTCAGGGACCCCCTCGAGTGTGAGCCGACGATGTAGACTATTACACTACGGACTGACATGCTCTACATCCCTCCCCCCCCCTCCCTAACCACCACAACAACTAGCCGACAGAAAGCAGCATAATTCGGGGAAACGGAGCCTCATTACCCCAGCGCTTTGGCGCGTCAGATGCTGAGGAAAAAATAGCAAATTAATTCAGCTTGCTGCCGTCAGAGCCTTGGCCCCGCCCACTCCTGGGATCATAGGTACAATGCCAGATTGTAGTCATTTCGTATACCTATATAGGTAACAGGTTGTTAAATTATATATATCGTTAGGCTGGGCTGGATAACTATGTTAGGTTAGGGGAGGGTTGACATGACGTTGGGTTACGTTAGGTTAGAATGAGTGGGATTAGGATTGGTAGATTTTAATCAAAACTCGTTGGCGATGTAGATTATGTACGAAATTAGCGGAATATGTCATGCTAGATGAAGTCTAATATGGCGCACTTTGTGGCCGAGCATGTGGTAGTGGAGGGCGAGAGGGCGGTCCTAGCGGTGATGGCGGTGGTGGTGGTATATGAGGGAGTCAAAATGATGGAGAGGTTGGACGCATCTGTCATTCTCAGGTCCGCGCTCCTGCTGTGCGCATCTGGTTACTCCTTTCTTCCCCGGCGACCAAGACTGCTTTCTCAGGTGAGATGGTGAGAAAGCCAGACCATATATATCTTAGCTCATATCATACCCTACAGTATATCCTTGTCCACGTCCTACAGCATATCCTGGTCCACTCCCTACAGTATATCCTGGCCCACTCCCTACAGCATATCCTGGTCCACTCCCTGCACTATATCCTGGTCCACTCCCTACAGTATATCCTGGCCCACTCCCTACAGCATATCCTGGTCCACTCCCTATAGCATATCCTGCTCCACTCCCTACAGTATATCCTGGTCCACTCCCTACAGTATATCCTGGTCCACTCCCTACAGTATATCCTGGTCCACTCCCTACAGTATATCCTGGTCCACTCCCTACAGTATATCCTGGTCCACTCCCTACAGTATATCCTGGTCCACGTCCTACAGCATATCCTGCTCCACGTCCTACAGTGTATCCTGGTCCACTTCCTACAGCATATCCTGGTCCACTTCCTACAGCATATCCTGGTCCACTCCCTACACTAGATCCTGGTCCACTCCCGACAGTATATCCTGGTCCACTCCCTACAGTATATCCTGGTCCACTCCCTACAGCATATCCTGCTCCACTCCCTACAGTATATCCTGGTCCACTCCCTACAGTATATCCTGGTCCACTCCCTACAGTATATCCTGGTCCACTCCCTACAGTATATCCTGGTCCACTCCCTACAGCATATCCTGGTCCACTCCCTACAGTATATCCTGGTCCACTCCCTACAGTATATCCTGGTCCACTCCCTACAGTATATCCTGGTCCACTCCCTACAGCATATCCTGGTCCACTCCCTACAGCATATCCTGGTCCACTCCCTACAGTATATCCTGGTCTACACCCTATACTGTAGTCCACGCCATATATCATTCTAAACACCCTATATCCTAGTCCACACCCTCCATGTTAATCCAAATCATATATCCTGGTCTACACCCTAAAGCTTATTCCACAGACGTCAGACCAGGTAACCTTCCTGGTGCATTTACCATAGTTAATATTTTAGATCTGACTTTTTGCCTTCAGTCCTACTTCCCCACCCTGGCCCCCCCCACCCTGGCCTTCCCCACCCTGGCCTTCCCCACCCTGGCCATCCCCACCATGGCCTCCCCCACCCTGGCCTCCCCCACCCTGGCCTTCCCCACCATGACCTTCCCCACCATGACCTTCCTCACCATGACCTTCCTCACCATGACCTTCCTCACCATGACCTCCCCACCATGACCTTCCCCACCATGACCTTCCTCACCATGACCTTCCTCACCATGACCTTCCCCACCATGACCTTCCCCACCATGACCTTCCCCACCATGACCCTCTCCACCTCTGACCTTCCCCACCCTGGCCTTCCCCACCCTGACCTTCCCCACCCTGACCCTCTCCACCCCTGGCCTCCCCCACCCTGGCCTCCCCCACCCTGACCTTCCCCACCCTGACCTTCCCCACCCTGGCCTTCCCCACCCTGACCTTCCCCATCCTGACCCTCTCCACCCCTGACCTTCCCCACCCTGACCTTCCCCACCCTGGCCTTCCCCACCCTGGCCTTCCCCACCCTGGCCTTCCCCACCCTGACCTTCCCCATCCTGACCCTCTCCACCCCTGACCTTCCCCACCCTGGCCTTCCCCACCCTGACCTTCCCCACCCTGGCCTTCCCCACCCTGGCCTTCCCCACCCTGACCTTCCCCACCCTGGCCTTCCCCACCCTGACATTCCCCATCCTGACCCTCTCCACCCCTGACCTTCCCCACCCTGACCTTCCCCACCCTAGCCTTCCCCACCCTGACCTTCCCCACCATGACCTTCCTCACCCTGACCTTCCCCACCCTGACCTTCCCCACCCTGACCTTCCCCACCCTGGCCTTCCCCACCATGACCTTCCCCACCCTGGCCTTCCCCACCCTGACCTTCCCCATCCTGACCCTCTCCACCCCTGACCTTCCCCACCCTGACCTTCCCCAGCCTGGCCTTCCCCACCCTGACCTTCCCCACCCTGACCTTCCCCACCCTGGCCTTCCCCACCCTGACCTTCCCCATCCTGACCCTCTCCACCCTGACCTTCCCCATCCTGACCCTCTCCACCCCTGACCTTCCCCACCCTGGCCTCCCCCACCCTGACCTTCCCCACCCTGACCTTCCCCACCCTGACCTTCCACACCCTGGCCTTCCCCACCCTGACCTTCCCCATCCTGACCCTCTCCACCCCTGACCTTCCCCATCCTGACCCTCTCCACCCCTGACCTTCCCCACCCTGACCTTCCCCACCCTGGCCTCCCCCACCCTGACCTTCCCCACCCTGACCTTCCCCACCCTGGCCTTCCCCACCCTGACCTTCCCCATCCTGACCCTCTCCACCCCTGACCTTCCCCACCCTGACCTTCCCCATCCTGACCCTCTCCACCCCTGACCTTCCCCACCCTGGCCTTCCCCACACCATCCTTCCCCACACCGTCCTTCCCCACACCGTCCTTCCCCACACCGTCCTTCCTCACACCGTCCTTCCCCACACCATCCTTCCCCACACCATCCTTCCCCACACCATCCTTCCTCACACCATCCTTCCCCACACCATCCTTCCCCACACCGTCCTTCCCCACACCATCCTTCCTCACACCGTCCTTCCCCACACCATCCTTCCCCACACCATCCTTCCCCACACCACCCTTCCTCTCACCATCCTTCCCCACACCATCCTTCCCCACACCATCCTTCCCCCACACCATCCTTCCTCTCACCATCCTTCCCCACACCATCCTTCCTCTCGCCATCCTTCCCCACACCATCCTTCCCCACACCATCCTTCCTCACACCATCCTTCCCCACACCATCCTTCCCCACACCTTCCTTCCTCTCACCATCCTTCCCCACACCTTCCTTCCTCTCACCATCCTTCCCCACACCATCCTTCCTCACACCATCCTTCCCCACACCATCCTTCCCCACACCTTCCTTCCTCTCACCATCCTTCCCCACACCTTCCTTCCTCTCACCATCCTTCCCCACACCATCCTTCCTCTCACCATCCTTCCTCTCACCGTCCTTCCCCACACCATCCTTCCCCACACCATCCTTCCTCACACCATCCTTCCCCACACCATCCTTCCCCACACCATCCTTCCCCACACCATCCTTCCTCTCACCGTCCTTCCTCTCACCATCCTTCCCCACACCATCCTTCCCCACACCATCCTTCCCCACACCATCCTTCCTCTCACCGTCCTTCCTCTCACCATCCTTCCCCACACCATCCTTCCCCACACCATCCTTCCCCACACCATCCTTCCTCTCACCATCCTTCTCCACACCATCCTTCCTCTCACCATCCTTCTCCACACCATCCTTCCCCACACCATCCTTCCCCACACCATCCTTCCCCACACCTTCCTTCCTCTCATTATCCTTCCCCACACCTTCCTTCCCCACACCTTCCTTCCTCTCACCATCCTTCCCCACACCTTCCTTCCTCTCACCATCCTTCCCCACACCATCCTTCCCCACACCATCCTTCCTCTCACCGTCCTTCCCCACACCATCCTTCCCCACACCATCCTTCCTCTCACCGTCCTTCCCCACACCATCCTTCCTCTCACCGTCCTTCCCCACACCATCTTTCCCCACACCATCCTTCCTCTCACCGTCCTTCCCCACACCATCTTTCCCCACACCATCCTTCCCCACACCATCCTTCCTCTCACCGTCCTTCCCCACACCATCTTTCCCCACACCATCCTTCCTCTCACCGTCCTTCCCCACACCATCTTTCCCCACACCATCCTTCCTCACACCATCCTTCCTCTCACCGTCCTTCCCCACACCATCCTTCGCCACACCATCCTTCCCAACACCTTCATTCCTTTCACCGTCCTTCCCCACACCATCCTTTCCCACACCATCCTTCCCCACATTATCCTTCCCCACATTATCCTTCCCCACATTATCCTTCCCCACATTATCCTTCCCCACACCTTCCTTCCCCACACCTTCCTTCCCCACACCTTCCTTCCCCACACCTTCCTTCCCCACACCTTCCTTCCCCACACCTTCCTTCCCCACACCTTCCTTCCCCACACCTTCCTTCCCCACACCTTCCTTCCCCACACCATCCTTCCCCACACCATCCTTCCCCACACCATCCTTCCCCACACCATCCTTCCCCACACCATCCTTCCCCACACCATCCTTCCCCACACCATCCTTCCCCACACCATCCTTCCCAACACCATCCTTCCCAACACCATCCTTCCCAACACCATCCTTCCCAACACCATCCTTCCCAACACCATCCTTCCCAACACCATCCTTTCTTAGTTATGCTTGCGGGGGTTGAGCTCTGGCTCTTTGGTCCCGCCTCTCAACTGTCAATCAACAGGTGTACAGGTTCCTGAGCCTACTGGGCTCTATCATATCTACACTTGAAACTGTGTATAAAGTCTGCCTCCACCACATGAGATGGAATGCAGTAAATTACCGACACTGGGAGAGTAACGTCTTCTTGGCTCATTTGGGTATTTAGTTTTCACCTGTGTCCCACCCGTGCTAAAGAGCTTATTTACCATGTCAATGCCTGAATTTTATAGGTTGTGATCATGTCCTCTTAGTGTCATGAGTTTCGGATCCTGACATTTCCTCGTAGCTCTCGGCTCGGGGGACCAGCGTGGTGGCATACTTTACCTTTTTTAAGGTCAGTGTGTTTGAGTAGATGTAGACTAGGTTGGAGCGGCATATTTCAGTATTGGTTTGATATGAGGTATACAAGTTTAAGGATAAATTTGCTTTAATATATTTCTGTTTATGCCAAAATATAGAATAGTATGCGCTCTAAACATTAAAAGAAAATGGAGCGTACATTATAGAAAACGGAGAGAAAGGTACACTACACTAACTCACGATTGTTTTGGGGACCAATGCAGTTCACAGGTTTGGTTCCCAGCTTGGTGCCTTTGATAATTACAGACTACAGGATGGGTCCACAACCCCCCCTCCCCCAGGGATGGGAATAGTGACCATAACCTACGTAATAGGTACTGGGTTCAGTACCACCAGCTCATGTTGGTACAACGTACCCTATGCTTCAACAGTGATTCAACACCGTATACCGTGCTTAAGGGTCTAGTACAGTCGGGTTTGTTTTCTACCCACAAACTAGAAATTCGGGTTAAGAGTCCCGGGCGGAACAGGAATTTGGCACATTTCCTTTCACTTAAATTCTACTCTCCTAGCAGTACGTATTCAACGGTCAGCTGAAAAAAAATAATGTAAAATGTATTATAGAACGGACTAGCCAGCGTTAAAGTTTTTCAGATACCAACTCGTCAAACACAGAAGTCATTCTGTGTAGATACCTAGCGAGGTCCCTGGGGGCCCAGGTCCAAAAATTGTGCCACAAGCAGGTTTTACAAGTAATGCACCTACACTGGCCTGTAGTGAGGGGTGGGGAGGGAATACTTAATATTGTGTTAGTTTAAATTTTATTTTACAACTTCACTCGGTACACCAGGTGATTTTCTGACAAACTTAATCATCTGCGAGACCAGCCTTTGATGTCTTTACGTGATGCCAGGCAGTGTCGTGCCACTATGCCGTTATGGACGTTCTTCAGTACCCAGAGACCGTCCTCGTCGCCTTCCCTGTTGTCGGCTGTGGTCGCCCGATCCTGGGGACAGGAGGAGAAAGTTTAGAACAATTATACTCCTTATAACATTAAAGAAACCGTGACTAGTTATTCACTTTTTCACCTCCACAGAGGTCTAAGTCCCTTACGAGTAACCTGCACTTTAATCTACCGAACTATGCATGTTACGACAATTTGGGCCGTAGGAGTAATACAGTAAAACAAGCCATACGGACCCTCCAGTGTGACAGTTTTAGGACAGCTGGTGTACCCCGATGACCGCCGCCAGGTCCTCCTGCCTCGCTCGTTGTCCACATCAACTGGATCCCACCTAAAATATTACGTAGTGTTAGAACATTGTCATTTAGTAAATATTAGTCTAGCAGGATGATCATATTTCAAGTCAATGCACATGTATTTAAATTTATAACTCAAGTAAACTTACGTTTTTTATGAAGTCTTCCTTGTCCTTTGATAGTAACTAGCTGGAAGCCTCTGCCAAGACTACCAGTAAGTTTGCTTGCTCCAGCTGTAGGTACCTCACGCACCATGAGAAATGGTAGTTCTTACCAGCCCTAGTTGCCATGTATCTGAAACAATTAAAATAAGATTTACTAAAATTGGACTTTTTTTGCTATGCAAAGAGACCTATACAAGATTATGCTACACCTTGGTAGCAAGTTTGACTGCCACGAAGGAAGGAAACCATCAGGAGACAGCGCCAAGCCTTAACGATTATATAGCACTGTGGGAAGTGTCCAGGAGACTAGCACCCCGAGGCTTAAGGCGCTTGTGTCAAGCGTCTAACTGCCTTGTCTAGATCCCCGGTGAGGGGGGGGGGGGGCCGCTGACAGACACCACTACGAACCGGTAGTTTCATAATGATCGTTCCTGTGCGATGGTCAGGACGAATTATTCCGTTAACTTATTAGAATTATATACATAACCTGCCGAAATCATGAGCGATACAATTTACTGAAATGCCGTCAATTTTACAATACACAAAAAGTTTCATAGTTAACGTTGATGGTAGAAAACACCAAATACTATGGATAGACATCCTAAAGATTAACAAAACCTAGTTTTCTAAAAAATTTCACTAGAAAGAATTACATCTTTCGCCTACTGAATTTTAGTCATGTTTTAATAACATGTTTTAAATATAGTTAAGAATGTGGTTTCAACGTTTTAATACCTAGTAACCCCACTGTTCATTAAGAAATTGTTAGTGTATCTAGCCGAATTTGAGGGCCAAGGCCAGACGTTAAGGGGTAGCCTCTCTCATGAGAGGAGTGAGGTGGAGGAGCGTCACAGGCCAGTTTGCCTCTGCTATAGTGCCACACACAGCATTATGTGCACTTGACGATTCGAAGGTTAGGTTAAGGCAAATATTAAATAATCGTAGTTCTCCCCCCCATAAGGAGGGGGCGGCGACGCAGCAAGGGGCGGGGGGAGGGAGGGGGCGGCGACGCAGCAAGGGGCGGAGGAGGGGGGCGGAGGGGGGGGGCGGAGGGGGAGGGAGGGAGGGGGGACACAGCAAGGGGAGGGAGGGGGGACACAGCAAGGGGAGGGAGGGGGGAGGAGGGGGGATCCTCACCATACAGCTCACCTTCAAGAGACGAAGCTGAACTGTATACTAAAAGTGAGGTAAAACACACTGAAGTGCAGTTTGGCTCATCCTTCCTTTTATACCCGGCAGCCAACCAAACCCGGCCGCTGATTGGTTGACATTCACCCTAAAACCTCACCCCATTGGTTAACATTCTCCGAGTCTGAAGTGTCAATTAACAATGGCCAACAGCCACCCCTGCACTTCCCCAAATACGACCGAGTCTCTAATGAACCAATAATGATCCCCAGCTTGAATATTTGAAGTTGTTAATTTCAAAATATAATTCACAAACCAAATACAACATTCTATTGTAAATGTTGCAACAGAACAACAGGTACAACAGAGCAACATTTGTAGTATAACCGGCAGTGAAGTAGTAATCGTCCGTCAGTCAAGCACTGTTAATGGCCGCTCCACAACTACAATATATACAATAACAGACTAACCAACCAACTAACCCAAAGTCCCTGACACAACACTGGATGATGTTAAATATTTGCTTTCAATTGACTTAATATATTGCTCGTTAATGACAAATTATTAAGTGATTTTAACTTACTGAAGTGCGAACATTTATGCTTTATAATAACTATTAACGTCCAGGATGACATTGTTCAGAATATTTTTTGTACACAAGTGCACAACTGTCTTGTCGTAACCTCCGCCTCAGACGACCACAGCCAGAGAGTAAGGGATGTAACTAAGACCGTCTTGCACCATCCTTCCCCACACCATCCTTCCCCACACCATCCTTTCCCCACACCATCCTTCCCCACACCATCCTTCCCCCACACCATCCTTCCCCCACACCATCCTTCCCCACACCATCCTTCCCCACACCATCCTTCCCCCACACCATCCTTCCCCCACACCATCCTTCCCCACACCATCCTTCCCCCACACCATCCTTCCCCCACACCATCCTTCCCCCACACCATCCTTCCCCACACCATCCTTCCCCACACCATCCTTCCCCCCACACCATTCCCCACCTCAGCTATCCCAACGTCAATCTTCTCCACATCAACTGCTCTCACCCCCACATCTTCCCCTACACCATTCCATCCCCACATCCTCCATCCTCCCCTGCACCTTCAACCAGCATGTTCAGCCTGCTTCTCACCTTCCATCCTTACCCCAGGCCTCCTTCAAGACCATAATATATTTACCCTTTCATTTCCTCAGTTCTCAGTGGAATTATTTACATGGTCAAATATTTCTATACTTTTAATGATGATTTTATTTTTATTTTGCAGAGTTTGAGAAGCTGTTAATTGCCTTCTACGAGTCGTGTCCACAGCCAGGGCGTAAAATCTTTAATCCTGTATCCATACAAGAGTAATCCTGTGTTATACATAGCAGGATATGGTGTTACGTATAATGATTCCCGTGTAAATGATCCTTCCATTCACAGTGTTTGGGGCATAGCACTGTGCTCCTGTGAGTCAGAACAGCTCCCGTGAGAGCTGAGACTCACGGAGACTGAGACAAGAGACTCACCCTTGTGAGTCAACCGTGAGTCAGATTCCAATCTTTCTTTAAATCTTTGAGTCACAGTGTAAGTATTTTTCTAGTCGCGTGCTGTAATTCAAGATGGCCGTGTTCGCTCTTCCCATGTTCTAGAATCTAGATTATAGTCGTCATAATTCTTATTGTCATTATCTTAAACTCCTGTATACAGTGTCTTATCCTAGGAATACAAGACAGTAGTATAATTCTGGACGATGTCCGTATTCATGACTTAAACAATATCCTAACCCAGAAATTCACAAGATTGAATCATATGATCCCAGATACTGATCTCTAAGTTTCTCAGTGTCAGAATACAAAGTGTCTCATATTGTGACTGATCCCAGACACCAGCTGTGTCTGATCCCAGACACCAGCTGTGTCTGATCCCAGACACCAGCTGTGTCGGCCTCCACAACACCCAAGACACCAGCTGTGACTGTCACCACAACACCCAAGACACCAGCTGTGTCGGCCTCCACAACACCCAAGACACCAGTTGTGACTGTCACCACAACACCCAAGACACCAGCTGTGTCTGTCACCACAACACCCAAGACACCAGCTGTGTCTGCCACCACAACACCCAAGACACCAGCTGTGTCTGTCACCACAACACCCAAGACACCAGCTGCCTTCACTCGTCAACTCTCCAGAACGCTACATACCCAAAACACTTTCCTTAATGTGAATATTCAGCACACGTTCAATACCCTTCCTCCTTTTCCTTCATAGTTGGGTACTCAATGACTCTCCTTCGCGCCTAGTGCCTCTGGTGTCCCGTCAACAATCCACCTCACTCTACGGAGCCAAGTTTCACCCCAGTTACTCTTTGGGGAAAGTTCAGGAGACCCATTTCTCGAAAGAAGCATTCTTTCAATCAATATTTTTAGGTTGTCCTCCTGTTTAGTGTCGTTGGTCTATTTTTACGACTAATTTGTTGTTTCCATTGTGAAGTGGAGGTGTTTGAGGTGTTTATAAGAGTTTAAGGATGTCTCCGCTTTCAGTCACCATCTTCTATATGATGTTTTAGGCGTTTGAAATGCTTCGATGAATATAGACTTCCAGGAGTGTGGCTCTGGGCCGGAGTGGAAGGACACTGGTGACTCTGGCTCCGTCAAAGTCCAGTGGGCAATGGGGTCAGGGGGGCATCTGAGAGGTGAGTCAAGTACATAAAGAATTCATTTGTATTGTAGTACAAATTTGCTTTCTTCGGTAATCAGCATTTGTCACGCTTAAATATAAGTTATTCAGTAATATTTATATGCACGGTAATATATTATCTAGAGATAATATGGAAACAATAATTATTCCAGCTAAAATTCTCACGCGTTCTATTTAGCGATGTTAAAATATTATAGTCTGGCATAAAAATACCTTTATTTAACCGTTTTCTCTAGACAACACCACACATACCACCTTCACGATCCTCAGGCGGGTCACAGGAAATAGTGTGAAGATAATATTTTGCTGAATGATGGCTTTATCTTGTACCACTCTTACAGCACATGTCGGACTTCACACTCCTGTGATGTTATAAAAAATGTCGGCACGGCCTGCTCCCACACTCCGGTCCACAGGGGAGAAAACCCGAAGACGTTTGGCTCGACTTTCGAAGTGCAGCCTACTTGGAGTTCGAGGAAGTGCAGCCTACTTGGAGTTCGAGGAAGTGCAGCCTACTTGATGCTCCAGGAAGTGCATCCTACTTGGAGTTCAAGGAAGTTCTGCCCGAAACGCTTTGCGTAATAGTGGCTTTAGGCATTGTATGTACTAGCTCTATCTATAAAGCCAACAAACTTTGACAAAGTGCAGCCTACTTGGAGTTCGAGGATAGCGTGACTGCCAGCGACCGGGCTATCAGCTGTAGACACTTGTGAGCTCTTGTGATGCTCGAAGCCTCTTCTTCAACGCCTTCTGCAAGTGTCGAAACGCATGTAGTGAAAAAATGTTGCAGGAAGGTAAAGTATCCCACTATAATACATAACTTGTGGTGTATAACTGTCAACTTATTATCACATATTGGCCAGAAATAATGACACCAGTACTAGAGTTCGAGTTATGACCTCTAGTAACTGTTCTGCCCTCAGGGACGTGGAGTGACGGGGAGAGATCCATACCATCTGCCACCGTCACCTGCTGTCACCTCCGTCACCACCGTCACCTAACTTCTGTCTTCCAGGGACGTGACGTTTGCTCCTCCCTGAGTGACACGCGCCGCCACGGACAATATTCCACACATGACCGGCACTTTTAAGAAGCTTCTGCATGACACATATCTCTGTGACAATCACGTGTCACGATGCTACAGACACATTACGTGTTTATATAAACATCACGGAACACATGTATCATATGACATATTTATTAAGTAATAACCTGATGATTGATGCTTTGCTCATATTAACATAATAATGTTTTGTGAAGTATTTCTTTCCTATTCCCTCAGAGCAGAGAAAATATTTGGAATGAAAAATATTTAAAATTAATTCTGAGAGAGAGAGAGAGAGAGAGAGAGAGAGAGAGAGAGAGAGAGAGAGAGAGAGAGAGAGAGAGAGAGAGAGAGAGAGAGAGAGAGAGAGAGAGAGAGAGAGAGAGATAATAATACAGGAGTTAGCAACTGTTGTAGCGACCATTCGCCCCGCGCAGAGCCTCGCTCCATATGGAGAACACACAAGACACCATTATTATCAGTAGAAAGTAGAAACTTATGATGCGCGGGCAAAATTAACATATAAACATTTCTACATGCAGGTGGAGAGAGTAGAACCGTGTAGAATGTTGGGAAGGTTAGCCCAGGAGTCCCTCAAGGGCGCCCAAGGCTCTCAGGAGTCCCTCAAGGGCGCCCCAAGACCCCCAGGAGTCCCTCAAGGGCGGCCAAGGCTCCCAGAAGTCCCTCAAGGGCGCCCCAAGATCCCCAGGAGTCCCTCAAGGGCGCCCGAGGCTCCCAGGAGTCCCTGAAGGGCGCTCCAAGGCTCCCAGGAGTCCCTCAAGGGCGGCCAAGGCTCTCAGGAGTCCCTCAAGGGCGCCCAAGGCTCCCAGGAGTCCCTCAAGGGCGGCCAAGGCTCTCAGGAGTCCCTCAAGGGCGCCCAAGGCTCCCAGGAGTCCCTCAAGGGCGCCCCAAGACCCCCAGGAGTCCCTCAAGGGCGGCCAAGGCTCTCAGGAGTCCCTCAAGGGCGCCCGAGGCTCCCAGGAGTCCCTCAAGGGCGCCCCCAAGACCCCCAGGAGTCCCTCAAGGGCGCCCCAAGACCCCCAGGAGTCCCTCAAGGGCGGCCAAGGCTCCCAGGAGTCCCTCAAGGGCGGCCAAGGCTCCCAGGAGTCCCTCAAGGGCGCCCCCAAGACCCCCAGGAGTCCCTCAAGGGCGCCCCAAGACCCCCAGAAGTCCCTCAAGGGCGCCCCCAAGACCCCCAGGAGTCCCTCAAGGGCGCCCCAAGACCCCCAGGAGTCCCTCAAGGGCGGCCAAGGCTCCCAGGAGTCCTTGGACAGTCCTGGAGCCTATTAAATAAGCTCCACTACTAACCAGCCCCCGACGACACTCGTGGATCTATTTGGGTACAATTTTTCGTCAAATTCTGGCACGTGCTCAATGTATGTTTGGGAGGGTGATCCTAGACGGCATGGGTTCGAGTCCTGGTCGGGTCATTTAGATTTTTTTGTAATTTTAGAGTGCGTGGGAGGGTGAGGTTAGGCCACCGTTACCTGTGGCAGGTGGCTGCAGGAGACGGATCTCCTGGCCGTGAGCACTCTGGCTCTCCGCTCTAGCAGGAACTGGGCCACGCACTCACACGTCATGGTACTGTATATATAGTCATTATATATACATTATAATATATACATTATAATACATAGTCATTATACACCTGTCGGTATGAGGTATTCATTAGAACATCCTCGTAATCCATTCACAGTGTGCTGGTGTTGGCCAGGTCGTGGTGTGAGACGTTAGAGCAGGATGGGCGTCGTAGCGGCTCCTAACTCACACCAACTCATAAATTCTCCAGCAACAGCATAAATATGTATATACTCAAGCTTGGTATATACAAAAAATACTCTCATTGGGCACTATAATAAACTAATTATCTCGTCTTGGTAGAACAATCACCCATATCTTCCGCCATAACTTCTCTTCCGACATTCTAAAGATTGATTGTTGCCGCTGGAGGCGGCTAGTTCATTGTGCACCCCATACTCATCCTGTGAGCGGTAGCGCAAAAAGGATTACAGAGGGCACAAAAAGCCTTTATCAGACTTCAACGGTGATTATCATATGAACAATTTCATCTATCCTTCACACCTTATAATTATAATATTAACTAGCTACAGAGATGGTTCCATTTCAATAGCTATGTATTTACAACTAATCACTCTGTATTATTGCCAGGTGTCTCCTCTAATTAATGAATCCCCAGGATTCCAATAGCTCTCATCCCATCCTAATCTTCCCTCTCTCTGTCTCTCTCTCTGTCTCTCTCTCTCTCTCTCTCTCTCTCTCTCTCTCTCTCTCTCTCTCTCTCTCTCTCTCTCCCCCTCTCATAGCCAGACCTGGACACGTTCTCAACACGTAAACAACTGATCACCCTTCAAGTGCCAAGACTTCCTTGTCTGAAGCTCATAACGGCGGTGAAGCCAAATTGCTCAAAGTTTCTATTCTTGCAAGAAGATAGCAGCATCAGAGAGAGTAAGATATCTCCCAATACCTTTCACCTGAATTCTTCCCCCCCCCCCTCCCATCATTCCTCCCCCAGCCCCCTCCCCATAATCTTCCCCATTCATAGCTGACTACAGCAGCCGTGGACCTGGTGGCCCCTCGCCTGGGGGATGAGGAGTGACTGTGGGCCCATGGAGACGTACTGGGGGCTCCCCCAGGCCACAACACTGGTAACTAATCTACAACATCCGCCCCCCTCGGTACTGTTGGTGGAGCGTCGACCTGCCGTCCCCGCACCAGGCAGAGTACACACACACACACACACGCACACACACACACACACACACACACACACACACACACACACACACACACACACACACACACACACACACACACACACACACACACCGTTCCAAGGCTCCCAGGAGTCCCAGAAACCTAAATGAGGAAGCTTTTAGGGCGCTTTACACTGCCTACGTGAGACCCGTCTTAGAGTATGCCGCGCCATCATGGAGCCCCCACCTGAAGAAACACATAAAGAAACTGGAGAAGGTTCAGAGGTTTGCGACGAGGCTTGTCCCAGAGCTACGAGGGATGGGATATGAAGAGCGGCTGAAGGAACTGAACCTTACGACACTAGAGAAAAGAAGGGAGAGAGGAGATATGATAGGGACATATAAAATACTCAGGGGAATTGACAAAGTGGAAATAGATCAAATGTTCACACGTAATAATAACAGAACGAGGGGACATGGGTGGAAACTGGAAACTCAGATGAGTCACAGAGATGTTAGGAAGTTTTCTTTTAGCGTGAGAGTAGTAGAAAAATGGAATGCACTTGGGGAACAGGTTGTGGAAGCAAATACTATTCATACTTTTAAAACTAGGTATGATAGGGAAATGGGACAGGAGTCATTGCTGTAAACAACCGATAGCTAGAAAGGCGGGATCCAAGAGTCAATGCTCGATCCTGCAAGCACATATAGGTGAGTATATAGGTGAGTACACACACACAGGAGCGGGGCTATGGGACCAAAGAGTCAGAGCTCAACCCCTGCAAACACAACTAGGTGAGTACACACACATTTGATTGGTCATGTGGTAGTGTATGGTAATAGGTAATTATGAGGAGAAAGCGCTTGGCCAGCAGGACTATCCACCACTTGAAAGGGATAGGACAGTGCGAAGGAATCGGTCCATCCTTCTTGAAAGAGGACGGCCACAAGACCTAACCAGAACGTACGTACCCAAACCACCCATCTAACCTAACCTTTGATGCACAGAAAACGGGGATATTTGTGAGCTCTCCATAGTACTACGTAATTTGTACGTTGGGATCATCGTACACAATGAGACGTACTAGTCAAATGACGTACTAATCAATTAGTACTGACGATTAGACGTACTAATCAAATGTACCCATAGTAGGAAAACAGCATGTAAAGGATTTGGGAATAATAATGTCTGACGACCTAACGTTTAAGGAGCATAACCAAGCAAATATTGCGACAGCCAGAAAAATGATAGGATGGATTACGAGAACTTTTAAATCCAGGGATCCTATCACAATGGTTGTACTCTTCAAGTCACTTGTGTTGTCCCGTCTTGAGTACTGCTCAGTACTCACTTCCCCCTTCAGAGCAGGAGGGATTGCTGAAATAGAGGGAATACAGAGAACATATACGGCACGTATAGACGAGATAAAACACCTAAATTATTGGGATCGTCTCAAAGCCCTCCAAATGTACTCACTAGAGAGAAGACGAGAGAGATATCAAATAATATACACCTGGAAGATACTGGAGGGCCAAGTACCAAATCTACACAGTAAAATAACAACGTACTGGAGTGAACGGTATGGAAGAAAATGCAGAATAGAACCAGTGAAGAGCAGAGGTGCCATAGGCACAATCAGAGAACACTGTATAAACATCAGAGGTCCGCGGTTGTTCAACGTCCTCCCAGCAAGCATAAGAAATATTGCCGGAACAACCGTGGACATCTTCAAGAAGAAACTAGATTTATTCCTCCAAGGAGTGCCGGACCAACCGGGCTGTGGTGGGTATGTGGGCCTGCGGGCCGCTCCAAGCAACAGCCTAGTGGACCAAACTCTCACAAGTCAAGCCTGGCCTCGGGCCGGGCTTGGGGAGTAGAAGAACTCTCAGAACCTCATCAACCAGGTATCAACCAGGTATCAGTCGAGAGGACGGGCTGACTTTCCCAGCCACTTGGACCACCGGGGGATGGAACCCCGATCCTGTGCGACATGAAGTCGTCATAATACCGACCAATGCCAGTGGAGGAGGAAAGGGAGGCCTTGTAAGGTATATAAGGTATGTAAAAAGTCGAGCTTCAGTTGTTGAGGCCCCGCTGCTGTCGGTCAGCTGATGTCATGGTCACAGTTGTTACTGTGTGGTAAGTCTGGATCAGTACTGACACTTGCTGGGTACTCCAATATGGCGGCACACTTGCTGGGTACTCCAATATGGCGGCACACTTGCTGGGTACTCCAATATGGCGGCACACTTGCTGGGTACTCCAATATGGCGGCACACTTGCTGGGTACTCCAATATGGCGGCACACTTGCTGGGTACTCCAATATGGCGGCACACTTGCTGGGTACTCCAATATGGCGGCACACTTGCTGGGTACTCCAATATGGCGGCACACTTGCTGGGTACTCCAATATGGCGGCACACTTGCTGGGTACTCCAATATGGCGGCACACTTGCTGGGTACTCCAATATGGCGGCACACTTGCTGGGTACTCCAATATGGCGGCACACTTGCTGGGTACTCCAATATGGCGGCACACTTGCTGGGTACTCCAATATGGCGGCACACTTGCAACACGACGCATCTGTTGTTCTGCCTCTTCAGTGAGGCTGAGTCACTACCAGAAAATTCAGATTGTAAACTCTGTGATAATCCTCTAATGCATTTACTAGAACACTATATTGTTGAATGTGAAACCGTAAAAGATTTTAGACCTCCTGGCCTCTTGTACCACCAACTGTGTAACTATTTCATTGACTCAGTGTTCTGGACGACATCCTAACAATTTATCCACAATTTGCTTGTCCATTTTAAAGAATGAAGAACAATTTTATTTAAATTACTTCCAAGCTGCATCACTTATGAACCCATCCCTGCCCTTGTGTGGCAGTGCACAGTAGAAAGTTGTTTTCACATATTCATACATTAAAACATTGAATGTAACCATGATATATATGTGCTTCAGCCTACAGTTTAGACCTATTGTCTTATGTATGACCCTCTGTCCTGCGTGACAGTGAATACCAGCATTATCCTCACTTTAATAGGACTTAATTGAAATCCTCAGATTAGGCAAAATTGTAATTAATTTTGTCAATAAAGATGTTAATAATAATAATCTGCCTCTTCCATGTAACCAGCCGGACGCGTGAACGAAATTACTCAGGGAAAGTGTTGGGGGAAATGTGTTGTTGATAGGGAAACTTTTTTTTGGAGGGGGGCCGGGGGCCGGAGAGTAGTTGGGTAATGGTGGTGGTGGTGGTGGGGGTGACGAGTCATTAGTGGCTTGGTGTAGATGTGAACGAGAAAGTTTGGGGAAAACAGGGAGATTCCCCCACCACCATCCCCCTTCCCTCTCCACCCCTCATCCTAAGGGATACTGTTCAGGAGCGGGGCTATGGTGAACCCGTAGTGGACTAACCTAGCACAGGAGCGGGGCAAGTAGCACGGGCTATGGTGAGCCCGTAGTGGACTAACCTGGCACAGGAGCGGGGGAAGTAGCACAGGCTATGGTGAGCCCGTAGTGGACTAACCTGGCACAGGAGCGGGCTATGGTGAGCCCGTAGTGGACTAT